TCATTGCACGAATAACGTCTGCTGGCTGGAACAAGTTCACAGAGGAGCAAGGGAGGAGACAATCACCTATGGTCAGTGAATAACAACAACAGCAGCAACAACAACAACAACAACAACAACAATATATTATTTATACCCCGCCCATCTGGCTGGGTTTCCCCAGCCACTCTGGGCAGCTTTCAACAGAATATTAAAATACAATAATCTATTAAACATTAAAAGCTTCCCTAAACAGGGCTGCCTTCAGATGTCTTCTAAAAGTCTGGTAGTTGTTTTTCTCATTGACATCCGGTGGGAGGGCGTTCCACAGGGTAGGTGCCACTACCGAGAAGGCCCTCTGCCCGGTTCCTTTTAACTTGGCTTCTCGCAGTGAGGGAACCGCCAGAAGGCCCTCAGCACTGGACCTCAGTGTCCGGGCAGAACGATGGGGGTGGAGACGCTCCTTCAGGTATGAAGGAGGGCTGCAGATTCCGTGGCAGCTGAGAAACTAGCTCAGCTATTACAACTGGCTTGAGCCCTACATGAGCTGTCCAGACCTCATGGAGACAATGTAACAGGTCTACCTGAACTTAAGAATGCAGGGTTTTTATGTCGCACTGTGTGAGGATCCTTAGGCCCAAAAGATGAATGCAGACACCCCCTGGCTTCTCCATTTGTCTGTCTGGACTCTGCCCAGGCCACGGCCCTGATTGGCTGGTGGTTGAGAAATGCCCACTTCTCCCACAGCCACCACTGACATGCATCCTGCAGGAGGTTATCCATGTGGGAATGTAGCCTTCAGACTAAAACAAGTTTCCTAACCATGGTTTAAGGCATGTCTTAAGTGACTCCCCCTTAAAAGTTCCCTTGGTTGTTGGCTTACCCTTTATCCTCCAGAGGATTTAACCAATGCTCTTTCTCTTTGTCCTCGGCCCAGAATGGAGCAGTCTGTGGGGGTTTGAGCTATATGTGTTATATATAGATATATAGATAGGGGAGGAGGATTGTGAAGGGAGAGGAAAACAATCTGTACAAAAGCATTTTATACCTGGGAAGCTGGGGGAGGAGGGAAGTCTCCTGTTAGAGAGGACTTTAACTTGCCTTGAGCTGGCTATAAAGAGGGCACTTTCTATTTTCCACACCATTTCTTGAGGCATCTTTCATTTCACCCAAGACCCATAAAAACAAAAACAACAGCAAAAAAGCACCTCTTTCTTTCTCTCTCTTGTGTAGATAGGCAATGGGGATTAAAGCATCTATACTCATTACGTTGAGCCTTCAAAGCCATCCACCCCATGATTTATGACGGATTCGCGGGAGGTGTGATTCACTGTGAGCTCCTGAGAGCCATAATGGAAGGTGGACCCATCATATCCAACAATCTGCAAACACCCCCCTAGATTGCTGCATCGTATCTGTTGCTCACATAGGAAGGCTGCCTTATACTGAGGTCCATTGAGCCCAATGTTGTCAACACTAACTGGCTGTGGTTCTGTGAGGTTTTTGAGAAAAACTCAAAGAAGAAGAACAAGAAACTCTTAATGGGGAGGAAACTGAAGAGGGAAAGAGAGAAAGGAGAGGCTGAGCTACTCCGTTGGCTCTGCTGGAAGACCATCTCCACTGGGCCTTCCCTCCCTCAACTGTCACCTGGCAGGAGTCAATTCAGTACAGTGGTACCTCTGGATGCGAGCGGGATCCGTTCCGGAGCCCTGTTCGCATCCTGAAGCGAACGCAACCCGCATCTGCACGTGTTGCGATTCGCAGCTTCCGCGCATGCGCATGATGTCATTTTGAGCGTCTGCGCATGCGCGAGCGGCGAAACCTGGAAGTAACACACTCCATTACTTCCGAGTCGCCGCAGAGCGCAACCCGAAAATGCTCAACCCAAAGCTACTTCAACCCGAGGTATGACTGTACTTCTGTAGAAACAACCTTCTTTGTGCAGCACATCATTAAGCTATAGAAATTGCTTTCACAAGATACAGTGACGGCCACCAACAAGGTTGGTTTTAACAGAAGATTGGACAAATTCATGGAGGGTTATTAATGGCTAGTAGCAGTGATGGCTATGCTTTGCATCCCCAGCTGGAGGCAGCAGTGCTTCTGAATCTCAGTTGTTGGAAACCACAGGACGGGAGAATGTTCTTGTGTTCAAATCCTACTTGCTGGTTTCCCACGGGCATCTGGTTGGGCACTGTGAGAACAGAATGCTGGAGGAGATGGACCAGTGGCCTGATCCAGCAGGCTCTCCTCTTATAAAATGGTGGTGAGCAGCTGCTGGATGGACTAGTGGTCCGATTCAGGATCAGGAAGGTTGCAACATTCCTAAATTTACCCCCACTGACTAAAGTTTCATGGAACTAGGCTATTGTGAACAGTAGACCTAGCTCACGGGGGGGGGGGACCTGTTAACAGGGAAGAAACTGAAGAGAGAGAGAAAGTTCTTATTTAAGCAACACATACTTAAACTATGGAACTCACCTTGACAGGGTAATGGTAAAAGTAAAGGACCCCTGGGCGGTTAAGTCCATTCAAAGTCGACTATGGGGTTGCAGCGCTCATCTCGTTTTTCAGGCAGAGGGAGCTGGCATTTGTCCACAGACAGCTTTCCAGGTCATGTGGCCAGCATGACTAAACCACTTATGGTGCAACAGAACACCGTGATGGAAGCCAGGGTGCATGGGAATACCATTTATCTTCCCACCGCAGCAGTACCTATTTATCTACTTGCGCTGGTATGCTTTTGTTGGCAGAAGCTGGGACAGAGCAACGGGAGCTCACCCTGCCATGCGGATTCAAATTGTGCATGGGCAAGCCGAAGAGGCTCAGTGGTTTAGACCACAGTGCCACCCGTATCCCTTTTACTTTGACAGGAGGCAGTGATGGCCACCAACAATAATGACTTTGAGAGAGAAGTGGGCAAATTCATGGAGGACAAAGTTACTAGCCATGATGGCTATTCTCTGCTTCCATAGCTGGAGACATTGGTTCTTGTGAATACCAGTTGCTGGAAAACACAAGAGGAGAGGGTATTCTTGTGCTCAGATCCTGCTTGCAGCTTTCCCTGTTGGCCGTGATAAAACAAGGGTGCTGGGCTAGGTGGGCCTGATCCAATAGACTCTTCTTATGTCTTCAGCACACTATATGATAATAAAATATCTCAGGTTCAGGACTGACTATGCAAAGTATCAGCCCTTTGCCATTGTTACAGCATAAGCCATTATGGCTGTGCTCTCCCTTCACTTCTACAAGGCACTCCAAGAAGAGGTCCAAAAATACACCTTAACGGTGTCCAGCTAAACCCAAACTGTGTACAGGGTGCGAGTCAGAAGCTGAAGAGGGAAGGATGTGCGCAGGGATACAGTGGTACCTCGGGTTACAGACGCTTCAGGTTACAGACATTTCAGGTTACAGACCCTGCTAACCCAGAAATAGTACCTCGGGTTAAGAACTTTGCTTCAGGATGAGAACAGAAATCATGCTCTGGCAGTGCGGTGGCAGCGGGAGGCCCCATTAGCTAAAGTGGTGTCTCAGGTTAAGAACAGACCTCCGGAACAAATTAAGTTCTTAACCCAAGGTATCTGATGTACCCTGTTGGCTCCTCTCCAACGCTGACATGCATAGGAACCAACTCCTAGGGCCAAGGTCCATTCATGCTACCCCGAATAAAATATTTGAGGGGGCTCAAAGTTGATTCAAATGGTATGCATGTCCTGATCAATTATGCAGGAGGGGCTTCCTTTGCCCCCCCCAATATTTTATTCAACTTGGCACCCCTGCTGCAAATGTACTCCTACACAGATATCTCTGAGCCCAGGGAATGGAATGACATCAGAGTTCCATTATATGTCATCATTCACAGCACTCTTCACACATTGGATGTGGTGGCTGAACGGAAGTTGTGCTGATGCCTCGAGGCCATTGCAAACTTGGCGGTAGGATACTACAGAGAGAGGGAGAGGCTAAGAAATGCAAGGAGGGAAGGTGCCCAGTTTAAATTCCACATCAGCCGTAAGTATATGAGATTCGACCCCCGCTCCCCCGCACACCATGCTATCCCTTAAAATGAATGACAATTAAGAGAAGACTGCTCTGGGAGAGTCGAGGGGCTGTCAGAGTGTTCCCAGCTCTGCTGAAGTCAGCACCAGAAATAGTTTATTGCATGTCATCAAGATGCCTCCATAGCAGAAAAATCCGAGTATTGATACACAGAAAGGCTTATAAATTAAACAAGGGGGTTCTGAGGATTCACCCGGTACCATTTATAGAGTGCTAAATATTATTCATTGCTAAATAACAGCATGAGAAGTCCTGATATCAAAGCAGTTACTGTAGGCTTGAGTACATTTAGGAGAGCTTAGCTTTGCCAAATCATGGCAAAGGACAGTGTGTGTGTGTGTGTGTGTGTGTGTGTGTGTGTGTGTGTTATATTTAACCCTTTTTTCAGATAAAAACTATCCTTTGCATATGTTCTAAGTATAGAGAGAAAGCAATAGTATTGGGGGAGGGGGTTCATTGTAGGAGGGGCAGGCTCTGCTCTCACCTTAAATATTTTCTAATACCTGTGTCTGGAGTACAGTGGTACCTCGGGTTACAGAAGCTTCAGGTTACAGACACTTCAGGTTACAGACTCTGCTAACCCAGAAATAGTACCTCAGGTTAAGAACTTCGCTTCAGGATGAGAGCAGAAATTGTGCTATGGCGGTGCCACGGCAGCGGGAGGCCCCATTAGCTAAAGTGGTAGCTCAGGTTAAGAACAGTTTCAGGTTAAGAACGGACCTCCAGAATGAATTAAGTTTTTAACCCGAGGTACCACTGTATTCAGACATGGGTTGAAACTAGAGCTGAGTTTTCTCAGATGGCATTTTTCTGAAACCATTTCAAATATTTGTTTGTGAGGAGCACAGGAAGTCACCTTATACTGAGTCAGACCATCGAACCATCTAGCTCAGTCACATTGTCTGCACGGAGTGGCAATGGCTCCCCAGGGTTTCAGAAAGGAAATCTTTCTCAGCCCTGTTTGGAGAAGCCTGGGATTGATCCTGCAAACTCCTGCATGCAAAGCAGACACTCCACCACTGAGCTACAGCCGTTTCCTTTTTCTTTCTCAAGCCCTTGGGGAAAAATAGAGTTGGGAAAGGTTCAGAAATAAGCAACCGAAATGGGGTGATTCTCCTATGAAGAAAAGTTGCAGCGTTGGGCGCTTTTTGGTTCAAAGACAGGGAGATCAAGAAATGACATGGTAGAAGTTTGGAATATTATGCATGGCTAGGGTTGCTACCCATCCCTAGAAAAATGGGTTTGGACAAAAGTGTCTCCTGACTTGTTTGTTCTTGAAAGGGGACACATATTTGAGCTTGGCCAGCCCAAAATGGCGGTTGTGTCACTATTGGTGCAGCTGACAAGGAGCTCAGCCCAGCATGAGTGACAATAGAGAGGAGGGGGAAGGAGCGGCTTCCTCTCCCTCCCTTGTCCTCTCCTTCCTTCCCTCTCGCTGGTGCTTCTTCTCAGCCACCATCCACCCGTCTAGCATGAATTTTTATGTATACAGTGGAACCTCTGGATGAGAACGGGATCTGTTCCGGAGCCCCGTTCGCATCCTGAACAGAACACAACCCGCGTCTGCGCGTGCACGGGCCATGATTTGCCACTTCTGCGCATGCACGTGATGTCATTTTGAGCATCTGTGCATGCGCAAGCGGTGAAACCCGGAAGTAACCCGTTCCATTACTTCCGGGTCGCCATGGAGTGCAACCTGAAAATGCTCAACCTATAGCTTGACAAACCTAGATAGCATCTTATAAAGCAGAGACATCACCTTGCCAACAAAGGTCCATATAGTTAAAGCTATGGTTTTCCCAGTAGTGATGTATGGAAGTGAGAGCTGGACCATAAAGAAGGCTGATCGCCAAAGAATGGATGCTTTTGAATTATGGTGCTGGAGGAGACTATTGAGAGTCCCATGGACTGCAAGAAGATCAAACCTATCCATTCTTAAGGAAATCAGCCCTGAGTGCTCACTGGAAGGACAGATCCAGAAGCTGAGACTCCAATACTCTGGCCATCTCATGAGAAGAGAAGAGTCCCTGGAAAAGACCCTGATGTTGGGAAAGATGGAGGGCACAAGGAGAAGGGGATGACAGGGGATGAGATGGTTGGATAGTGTTCTCGAAGCTACAAACATGAGTTTGACCAAACTGCGGGAGGCAGTGGAAGACAGGAGTGCCTGGCGTGCTCTGGTCCATGGGGTCACAGAGATTTGGACACGACTAAACAACTAAACAATAACAACAACAATGACTGTACTTTGCCTCAGTATGCACATCTTTTTAGACATTATTTGTTACACAGGGGGAAAAAATCAGAGAAGTGCAATTTTTTTTTGTACACATCTTGTAGGTATAGCTCTCAATGTCCCAGAACTGACTTGCCAGCCCTTAAAAAACACACCCACCTTCCAACCCCATCTTTCAATGCCTGTTTGGGACTACAAAAGCATTGTGTTTTCAGGCATTTCAGACCTGCAGTTGGCTTGATGGATCGCATCAAGTGCAGGGCAACCTCAGGTGTTGAGGTTGAGGCATTTTAGCCCCGTAAGATGCCCTGGAAATGACACAAAACTAGTTTCCCCACAGATGTTCTAGCTAGCAATTAATGTAATACATCAGTAATCTGCAGCTTCCATTCCCCACAAACAACAATTGGAAAGTCTCGGCTGCCTTCTGACATGCAACTCCAAATTTATGCCCTACACTCAGGGTTGACTTCTACAGATCTGTGTTAATTTACATCAGCCATAGATCTGGATCATATATTTGGAGACAGAAATAGTACACATGAATATATATGATGGGAGCCTATAAAGTATTTATTGGCATGAATTTGTGATGACCGCATTACTCATTTTGTGGTGGTGCTTAAGTCTTTAAGTCATGGAAGCCGGGATATTGCTGGGGTATAAAATGCAATTCCACTAGTTGCTGGGATAAAAATCTCCTAATTGTTGCTACTGCATATCCCCCACTTGATATCTTGCAAGATGTTGATGCCAGTGCAACTGACCATTTGCCTCTAGCAAAACAGGGTTTCTATTCATTTTATTTTTGATTCACCCCTTAGTGTACTTTGGGTCTGGTGAATTCCCATAAAATGGAATATTTAAATGTTAAACTAGTCATCTAACAACTGTATGTGTACGTGCAAGAGTTCAACTTTTAGGTCTCTAAAGTTGATGGAGCCTAGAAGGGGGGCTAAATCATATTTTAAAAAATAAACCAACCAATAATGAGCTTTGTCACCTGAGACTTCTGGATCAGTTGGCTGTGTCACACAATGCTGGCTACATGTTGAGGGAATCCAGGACAAACTCCTTACAGTTCCCAGTACCTGATCCTGGAGCATTGCTCCAAGGCATTGTGGGAGGTTAAAATGGTGGCTCCCCGCTTCCTGATGAAGTAGGGAATGAAGTCACCTTTGACATCATGTGCTTTGAAAAGTCACTGGGGCTGCCCTAAAGGCCAGAAATGCATACCTTGTTGCACACTGGACAGCACGGCCTTTGTGTGTGTGGGTGTGTGTTGGGTTCACATATCCAAGGCTGCTTTAGCAGGGAGAGATAATTTTCTGCAATTCTTGGCTAGGGAGCCATGGAATGTGGCAATTTACATGCCCTGGAATTTTGCATGCTTCCCTCATATGTGCAGATTCAAACTCACCTGCCCATACTTTCATAATATCAGGCATTGTTTGGCAGATGTCCTACTGTTATATTTGAATGAATATGACCTCTCCATTATTACTCTGTCTCTTGAGTTTTCTTCCATGGTGCATTGGCAATGCTAATGTTTTTGGAGTGTGCACCCAAAACTATAATTTATTAAGGCAACAAACAGAGGTATTAGACATTATGCAAGACAGAAAGTGGCTGTAGTCCTTTGTCAAGTGTACAATCATGACAAACCTGGGTTTGCCCAATGTAATGTGTGAAACATCCCTAACACTAATAATAAACACAGGACTTTTTTTTAACAAAATCAAGTTTTGGAAATGGGTTTTATTTCCCAGCCAAAGGTCTATTTGGCTTCTGTGACAATTTTCTGATAAGGAAATGTGTTTGTTTCAGAGAAGCTAACAGTTGTTTGAAATTTTAACCAGCTGTATTAACTTCTCGTGATATCTTCCCAAGGTTGCAACACTCCAAATAAATGCAAGCCATTTATTAGGATGGTTATTTTTTATCTGCACTGCAACGTTTATTTTCCTTCATGAATTACCTTTTCGGATCTCACCACTGCTGCAATGCCTCCCATATCTTTAGTCAAAGTAACACTTTGTTTCACTTATGCTTACACACTCTTCATTCTATAGACCAAAATCGCTTTCAATTACACATAGATCACAGTCCTTAACCATTAGTCTCACTTGCTTGTGGTTAATAATTCACCTTATATTCCAGCATCCATCAACATAAAATCAGCATAACAACTTTTATGAATCCCTTTATCATCAGCACATTCCAAATGCTTATACAATCTGCACTCCAGATTCACATAGGAACTGGTTTAATAGCCCTTAAAGTCGCAATAATACTCAGTTCCTTTCCATCACAGAATTATTGTTCATTTTGTCAGAGAGGACCATTTTTTAAGCTCTTTTATATTATCCTGCCATATTTCTTGGAATCTATTGGCCCATATTCTGATCACGGTTAATTCAGAGCAAATATGATTCACAGCCGGCATGGATTCAAATGAACTGCTGAGGTGGTAAAACTAACGACTGATGGATGTGTGTGGATGCGCTGTCATCTCACAGCCTGTTGTAATTATTATTATGACTTGCAAAATGTATATTTCAGTTGCACCCCTATGTGAAACAACTCCTGTGGTGGTATTTGGACCACCCAATGTCACAAGTGGAGACCTGCTCCAGAATCTGCAAATATCATTGATGTACATGATGTACGAGCTTGGACTAGGTGACCCTTGGCTCATCTAGATGGGACCCCCTTTCAACTCTTCAATTCCATGATTCTATGATGCTTTACAGTGTAAAATTGAGGTCCCGCCCCAAGCGCCACATCCCCTCTGCCAGGAGGAAATGAGCAAGACCAAACTCAAAGTGAGTAGGAACAACACACGCATACAAACACACACGCCCCAATCTCTCTCACACACAAACATCCTACATTGCCTTCTGTGCTTCATTGTGAGGTTGCAGGGTCTAAACCAATGGATTCCACTTGCAAGAAGGGAAATTTCGACTAAATGCTGAGAAGAACTTTCTGGTTAGTGGGGTAGGAGACCTGAAAACAACAACCACATTTGTCTACCAATGTGCCTCTTTGATTTTAGATAGTACATGGGTCGACGAGTCTAAAAAGCCTAGGACACAAATTTTCACAGTTCTCTAGCAGCTATGGTGGCTCCTTTACCAGAAATAATGCATTTGTGTGTTCAGATCCCGAGACCTCCCCCATAAATAAAAACACATTTGACTCAAATTTTGGTTTTGGATTTTTGGCAAAATTTAGGCCACAACTTTATTGATTACAGATAAGTGAGTGGTTGCATAGGCTCTGGTTCAACTAGCTCTGACCCAGGGCGCACCATAGGTCAGCCAAGGGTAAACACCTAGGGAAGGTCAAGAGCCTGGGAGTAGACTCTGTCCATTCCCCAGATGCTCCCTGGGACTCAGGCACGGGCACAACCCCTATCGGGGGTTGACCAAACCAAGTTGAGTCCCTGGATTCCTTTAATGGAATACCCTTCACATAGGGATCGGCACAGCTCCGCATCCCTAACCATCTTGAACCAGTGCCTATCTGCAACCTTACAGGTTGTGACGATTTGCTACGCGGCAGGCGAAACCCAAATGGCAACAGCCAATCAGCCAAGTGGGGAAATTCCTGCTGTGCCCCTGTCCCAATGACAGACAACACACTACGGGCATAGCAAGGTCAATCGCTGAAAAAACCCTAAATATAGGGAGAGGTGGGTGAGTGTTTCGATGCACGAGCAAAAAGAGGAAGCTCACCAGCACGTGCATGGGCTTAAATAGGTCCCTTGAAGCCCTTGGCTTCTTCCCATTG